ATTGACTAAACAACACATCTCCTGAGAATTGGACAGGAGCTACTTTATTGGATGATGAACAATAGGTAGGTGATACGAATAAGGCTGTAGAGGATGAGGCAGTGGAAGGGAACAAAGCAGGTGGAATATTATATAAACCTCCTTTAAGGCCCCCTTATAGTAACATTGCCTTTGTGGATTTGTCCTTAACAACACAACAATTTGCATCAAACTCAACAATAACATTGTTGTCTTTGGTAAACCTAGAAATGCTAAGCATATTTTTTGTAATGTTTGGCACACAAAGTATATTCCTAAGATGTAAACATTTGGAATGCAATGAACTAGGTAAGATAGAATGGTTTGTATAAGAGATAGAAAGGTGCTCACTGTTGCCTACTTGAAGTTGAGTATCACCCTCACAAGTCTTACTGATTTGTAGCTGTCCAAGATCAGAGGTCACATGATCGGTTGCTCTAGAGTCCATATACCATGCTAGATCTGTTGAAGTAAAAGCTATAGCAACATAAAAACCATAAGATGGTTGGTTATAATAAGTCCCAGATTGTCCAAAAACTGCACCATTATCAGTTCAAATTCCAGCCTCTGGTCCAGTAGAAACAAAGTGAGCTTGGCTATAACTAGAATTCTGCTGACTAGGTATTCCAAAACTTGATGTAGGAGCAAATGTGGTGCTTGATTGTCCAATGGAAGGAGGATTGAACTGTGCTGAACCACTATTTGGTACTGGTGGTGAGTGAACAGTGTGTAATGGATTAGAAGTAGAGAAAACATTGTGCTGAGCATGCTGAGGATAAGTTGAATTTTTATAATGCTAAGGTAATACATTTTGGTAGCCTTGAGAAGAGAGAACAGGTTGTTGCTGTTGGAAAACATGAACAGTCTGCTGCTGCTATGAAACACCATTGTAGGCTACATTAAAACGATGATAGCACTGAACATCAGACTGTCCAACCTTATTACAGACCTGGCAAATGAGTCTATTTCTCCCACTACCATGACCTCTGCCTCTTCCATAAACAGTAGGTCCAGTCCGGTTTTGATTCAATCCATTACCAATAAAAGGTATAAAAGTTTGAGGTTGAGAGGTTGGGAATACTAGTGGAATAACATAGGTTTGTGAGCTATGAGGATTTCCTAGTGAAATTAGGGAAGGTATAGTGTTGGAAAAATGGTCAGAGTCTGTAGCTTTGTTGTGGCTGGCCTAGTCTTTTGATCTAGAAGCACCAGAGGCAACGATGACTAGTTAAGGCTACATTGACAGACCTATTATAGAGATCAATTGAGTTAAATTTTTCAAGTCTAAGCTCATACTTCTGAAGTAAAAATTGTGCGTCTTAAAGTGTAACACTGTCAACTTTGGATTCTAATCTGGAAGTAAGGGTCATAACAGCGGCATCATATTCAGGGCCTGACCCATCTAACACGTATTAAAGCAAGTCCTTATCAGATGCAATCATTCCACTTGTTGCTAAACTTTCAGAGATCTCTTTCATCTTTTTAACATAATCACTAATACCCAGACTACCTTTCTGAGTTGTTTGAAGCAAGTTTTTAAGATGAAGAGCTCGAGCCTTGGAATCTGTTATAAATTCATTTTTTAAGGCTAACCAAATTTCAGTAGCTAATCTACATTTTGAAACAACATAGAACATGCTTTCCGATATTGATGCAAGTAACCAGCTTACTAAGCATTTATCAACTCTTTTCCACAAAACATAAGCCGGATTAAGTTGTTCACTAACCTCAGATTCATCGATTAGAACTGGTGAGGGACAACGAGCTCTCCCTAAGAGGTGGTCTTCTAATTCATGAGAGCCAACGGTGGATAAAACTTGAGAGCTCCAAAAGCGGTAGTTGTTTCTTGTCAACTTAGGGTTTATAACTTGCAAGCTCGAATTGAGAGCTGACGTAGTTCGATTTGAGAAATCTTGCAACATTTCTCGATTGCTGTTAAGCATATGAGAAGAAGAAGAATCCTTAGCCATTGACGCGAGTTAGGGCTCTGATACCATATGAAATGTAAGCAAAATTGAATGAAAAACAATTTAGAGAGAAAAGGGAGAACACAAATTTGTGTGTATTACTTCGATTGTTGTTACAATGAGAAAGAGCAGTAGCTCTTTTATATTGATACATGATTAAAAGAGAGAACACAAATTTGTGTGTATTACTTCGATTGTTGTTACAATGAGAAAGAGCAGTAGCTCTTTTATATTGATACATGATTCAGTTACAGAGTGTTAACAACTACAACTAATCCTACCTGATTTCTTTTCTCAAAACGACACCACTTTGACAACATTATTAAAGACACCCAATACCTGACATCTTTGCTCTTACACCCTTTTATGTCAACACTTGGCCGTTATTTTTGTATCGTTCTACTTAAAATTTAATTTAAAACATATATCATGTGTACCACAATATTTAATTTTTATACAGAAAAGGTACTGATTAATTTGATTATATATATATTCAAGATGATACGTTAGTTTTAACTTATCTATACCTTTAACATTATTATTAATATTTTTAATCATAATTGTTTTGGAAGCAGTAATAACAAAATTATAGGAAAAAAAAAAAAAGAGGCAATGCTATGCTATTCATCTATTTAAATAAAAACATATCTATTGACATGTATAGTGCAAATATTATCTTGTGAAACACAAAGTACGATAATTACTCAAAGGTGAATATATAAGATGAATAACGAAAGAATAATAACCTTATTATAATTTTTCACGAATAATATTTTCACTGAATTATCTTCAGCGTATTACAATTACTTTTTTGCCCCGCCTCAACTACTTTCTTAGCTCAGCCGCAGGTAAGCAAATTAACAAATTTCTCAGCCTAAAATGGGGAAAAAAAGATGGACAAACAAATATATACGTAGTAGCATGTATAAGAATCTATTTGATATGAACCCACATGGAAGCGCTTGGAACTCTTTTATAAACGACAGAAAGAAGATAATACCCAGGAGGAGCAATTTCACCTGACCTAGGTGCTCTAGCTATAATATTGTGAACTATTGGTGTCGAGAGGTTGCTAACCACATCAACCAAACCTAAGATAAGGAGCCTTTGATTCATGGAGNTAATCACCATTGTAGTATTGGATGCTAGAGATAGATTCAAAAATCCATGAAATCATTGTAGAATTCTTATGCTTAATGAGCTTGGATTTGTTAACTTTCAAATTGTTGGGTGTGGAAAGTTGATAAGGAAGAGTAGGGAAACATAGCCTGAGAAGGTATGTTTAACACTTTGGAGAGTTCGATTTACAATCAATGCATATGAGTATGAATTTAGTTTAATTTATAGGTTTTACCCATAAAATCCGAATGAAGTCAAAACCCTAACCGTTTTACTTGAACTAATTTCTATCTGTGTTTTTCATCTCGCATTTCATCGTTAATTTTAGTTTAAAATTTATTGTTCAGTGTTAATTAGAAATAGCTCCCATTAATCCAAAGAAGTCGATTGCTCCAACTTGAGAATAGTAGGAAACTTAGTGTTTAGCTAACAATCCTCGTGGGAATGATACTCACTCATCATTATATTACTTGTGCGATTAGTATACTTGCTACATATTGCATGTTGTAGGAAACACACATCAGCAATCCTCCCACTCAATAAGGCCTTTTGGGTGAGGAGTTAGGCCCAACTCCAACAAGTGGTATCAGAGTCAGCCCCATTTGAGCTGAATGATTGACCAGCGGTGGGCTGCCAAACTACCTCCATTCATAGGCAAGTGGACCATATGGGCTTGACCGTGAGGGGGAGTGTTGAAGATCCCATATCGACTAGGCACGCTTAAGCCAATGGGTTTATAAGAGTAGGCAATCCTCCCACTCAATAAGGCCTTTTGGGTAAGGAGTTAGGCCTAACTCCAACAAGCATGACCCACCATATGGGCTTGACCATGAGGGGGAGTGTTGGAGTCCCACACCGACTAGGCATGCTCAACCTTATTGGGTTATAAGAGGGGGTAATCCTCTCATTCAACGAGGCCTTATTGGGTGAGGAGTCAAACCCACCTCAAATTCTGTCATGGTATCAGAGCTAGGTTCAATTGAGTTGAGCGCTTAACCAACGGGTGAGGAGTTAAAGCCAACAACTACCTCCATCAATAGGCATGACCCACCATATGGGCTTGACCGTGAGGGGGAGTGTTGGAGTCCCACACCAACTAGGCACGCTCAATCCTATTGGGTTATAAGAGGGGGTGATCCTCTCATTCAACAAGGCCTTATTGGGTGAGGAGTCAGACCCACCTCAAATTCTATCAAGTTACAGAGTGTTAACAACTACAGCTAATCCTACTTGATTTCTTTACTCAAAACGACACCACTTTGACAACATTATTAAAGACACCCAAATACATGACATCTTTGCACTTACACTCTTTTATGTCAACACTTAGCCGTTATTTTTTTTATCGTTCTACTTAAGATTTAATTTAAAACATATATCATGTGTACTACAATATTTAATTTTTATACAGAAAATGTATTGATTAATTTGATTATATATATATTCAAGATGATATGTTAGTTTTAACTTATCTATACCTTTAACATTATTAATATTTTTAATCATGATTGTTTTGGAAGCAGTAATAACAAAATTATAGAAAGCAAAGAAAAAAAAAAAAAAAAATTAAAGCGACGCTATGTTATTCATCTATTTAAATAAAAACATATCTATTGACATGTATAGTGCAAATATTATCTTGTGAAACATAAAGTACGATAATTACACAAAGGTGAATATATAAGATGAATAACGAAAGAATAATAACCTTATTATAATTTTTCATAAATAATATTTTCACTGAATTATCTTCAGCGTATTACAATTACTTTTTTGCCCTGCCTCAACTACTTTCTTAGCTCCGCCGCAGGTAAGCAAAATAACAAATTTCTCAGCCTAAAATGGGGAAAAAAGATAGACAAACAAATATATATACGTAGTAGCATGTATAAGAATCTATTTGATATGAACCCACATGGAAGCGCTTGGAACTCTTTTATAAACGACAGAAAGAAGATAATACCCAGGAGGAGCAATTTCACCTGACCTAGGTGCTCTAGCTATAATATTGTGAACTATTGGTGTCGAGAGGTTGCTAACCACATCAACCAAACCTAAGATAAGGAGCCTTTGATTCATGGAAATACCATGTGTTGTGAAAGCGGGTGCATACATCGTAACTTTAACTTCATCTATATTTAGTTTGGGCTCATTTGAACTAACTTTCACCGAGAACTGTTGGTCATAACTCATTTCTTTGTCTGAAAACTCAACCAATATCTGTTGTCTTAGTCCAGCCACTAATGGATCTAAGTAAGGTGGGGAGAATTTCTCAACCCTAAGCTCTGTGGGGTACTTGGCATTATAATCGTAACCATCATGAGTGTTGCTGCCTGCTATAAGAACTTTTCCATCTGGTAGCATCACGGCTGATGAGTGGTACATTCTTGGAATGGGTGAAGGGGCTAACTCCTTAAACCTTTGGCCCTTTGGTCCTTTAGGCATATATAAAACAGGAGCAAAATTGGGGTCCTCCGCATCATTCCATGCGGAAGTACCTGTTTTAGCACCATTAAACATTATGACATCTCCATTTGGAAGAATCATCATATCGCCCATCACACGTGGTGATGGCATTTTTTCAATTCTCCAAACTGAATTAGGCTTTGTAATTTGTATTCTTCCGCAATCTTGTAATGCAGGCAAAAATTTCTTTTGAGTCTCTGCGTAATAAAATGAATCCCAAGGTGCACCACCACAAACCAAGACTTCAGCGTTGATCTTTTTCAATGTGCCAAGTTTAAGTCTTAATGGGAGGAGAACGGACATTCCCGATGCAGGGTAGTTACGGGAGCCACCAGGGAGAACTGGGAATTCGCGGACAACTTGGTTAGTTTTAAGGTCAAGCAAGATTGAACGGTTGTTGGAGAAAATAAAGAGATTTCCATTGGGGGAGAGGTGGACAAAAGGGTATAAATTATTCTCTATGTTAAATTGCGTTTGAGCATTGAACTGATCAGAAGTTTGTTGAAGCAAAGGGAGAAAGGTGGGGTTCTTATTGGTTTGTCCTTCTATTGGAATGTATTCGTAACTAAAGGCACCACGCCCCCCAAACACGATGAACCCACCATCTGGTAAGGTTACTTGTGTTGAGTACCTACAGGGATTGAAGAAAAATTATTTCTGAGAAAAGTAAAGAAATTATATATATATATATATATATATAAACATATATAACGAAGTATAGATATACACCATCTAGGATCTGCAAGTGATGATGGGTACTCTCTCCAATCACATTTTTCACATGTGGAGAGATATCTTACAGTGTTGGCTCCTTTTCCATTACCTCCCGTGCTAACCAAGTTTCTGTCCACTGTGAGGCCTCCTGATGAGCACCACGTGTCATGCTCAATCTATCACACACAGACATTGCATTGTTAACGAAAATAATTAAACTAAAAAAATAAATGCATAACAATTATGATTATTCATTTAAGTACCTTGAGTGCTGTCAATTTTGCTGTTTCATAATCGAATAACACAGAATGACACCAACAGTCCAATTCACCGGTTTCCTCATTCGCAATACGACAAGGCATCTTCTCAGGAGGCAATGGAATCTTTGATGTCCTCCAAACAGTAGCATCATACATCAAAACCTTGTTAAGTTTCGGAAGCAAGATAGCATGCATGGCGGAGACACCGGAGTTTTCAGATATCAACTCCCAGTTGCCATTATAATCCGTTAATCTAAGAGGGAGAGGATCAGGTTTGTCAGCATACCCCGATATGAACAAAAGTGAAAGGAAACAGATGATTTTGTACATCGTAACCATTGTGTTGTGGCCTTGTTTTTTGCTTTGAACGCACAATATAATTTCACAAAAGACTATCTCTATTTATATGGTTCTCTTCCCTCCTATCAATCTCCATCTCTCCAACAATTTACGGTTACAAATGTTTGTTAAACGATATGCTCAAATAAGGTTGGTTTGTTCTTATTTTTGACATAATTTTCCTGGTTCTTAGCTAGTGTTGGAACGAGAAGAAGTGTTAAAATAGAAAGACAATTTGTATGACAAACAAATGGTCTTAAATTTTTTTGATGATTTTAATCATAGATAGTTAGAAATCTTAATTCAAACAAATTGAAAAAAATAATATAGTCATATGTCTTTATCCATTTATGTTTTTAATGCAGTTCAAATTATACGGAGAAAAAAAAAATATTAAAATAATTAAACATTTTATTTAATTTGCAGAATTTGCAAATTTTAAAAATATTATAAAATCTGAACTAATTTCGCCAATGATAAGAGAAAACTTAAAAAGATAGTTGTATTTGATATATTTTTAAATTGTTAAAAAAATTAAGTGAAAAAGTATTTGATATATCATTCCGCTAGATCCTGCCTTTCCATTCGGCCACACGAACTAAGTCGAACAACCTATGCCCTTGTGGCAGTAACAAGTGTTTCGAGTCAAACCCTCCCTGAGAGGACATTGACTCGTTCGTATTACATCTACGATTAATTGAATATATTTTCTAAGTTAGATACCCTTTAACTTAGAGAGTGGGGGACATACTGTATGGGCAAAAAATCGTATTGGGCCTGACGAGGTCCAATAATGAAATAAACATATTACGACCCAATGCCTTAACCCAATTCCGGCTACGCTTCATTGTGGATTGACCACTCCATGAGTTGGGCCTTCCTACAAGTTAAGATAAATCGGGCTCTAGCCCATTAGCCCATATTCATCCCAAAATAGGAATTAGAATCATATTTACTTTTCACTTAGTCAAGATCCAAGATCTTACTTGAATTGGTAATGCTAATTTGATAAAGGCAAGCCATATGAATTCCTTCCTAATTCGAACTCCTCTACCAAGTAGGACTCAAAGTCCTACTAGGACTCCAACCCCCTGGGTTCACTATATAAACAGAGGCCAACCCTTTCATAATGCATTCAATCTCAATACCACTTTCTTGCTCTTAAAAGTTCTTCCTCTCAAGAACCACCGTCACCTTTGTTGTAGTTCTAATCCTTGACGAGATTTCGGTAAACTTTCCTCTCTTAGTCCTCACTAAATAGCCTTTCAAGCCTCGCTAACTTGAGCATTAGGGTGTCTACAGTAGACACCGCATCGATGTCCCCCGTGAGCTTCGCATTTGTTTCTTTGTGTACAAGGCCAGTTGATTGTTAGTGGCCTCAACCTCATAAGATCTGTCCATTTCGTAACCATAGATTTTTACAGTCTACAACCGTAACAGGTAATCGGGAGTTTAGTTGCTCATGGTGGTGTCCATGAAGGCTGGAGAATCGGGAATGGTGCTAATCATGACGAAGGGCAAACAACTGACAATAAGATGATGCACTTTATGGCTAAAGAAGACCAAAGGACTCTAGGAAGATGATGAAGTCAAAACTCGCCAGATTCTAGTGGCTTCCAATGGTGGTTTCCGTTGACTAGTGGTGAAACAATGATCCGAAGGTACCAAGAGGTAGCTCTCGAGCTGGGGAGTGAAGATCAATAGCTGGGGAGGTGCAATGTTGTCGAAAAATGAGCGAAAACTTGCCTGGAAGCTGAAGAGTCACAATATGTAAAGTGATGAAACTCACTAGAAAACGGCCAAATCGATGGCAAGGGAGCTCGGGGAAGATGGAAGAACCCTAGAGGAAGATGACCCAACACTTGGAGAGCTCAAACTTTGTCGGAAAATGGTGAAACATGGTTGGAAGTCGAAGAGGCACTAATGGGAGACGAAACGTCGTCGGTCGGAAGTCGAATTGACGCTGGGATGATGGAAGAAGATGAATCGACATAAAAGGTGGACATAGGGTGGCCGATAATGGCCAAATTTCGGTGAAGGGTGATGGTTTTGCAGTTGCCACTCGAAAAATTGCGCAAAGTTTTCCTTTTATAGAATTCACAGAAAATCTAGTGTGGTCCCTATAGAATGAAAAGTGACAAAATCAACCCCTAGAAATAAATATGACATTTTAGCCCCTGAACAACAAAATGAAGCAAATTTAACCCTAATTAATAAACCGCAACCTAATATCAACTGACACAATCTCAAAAATCATTCCAAACATTCAACATTTGTAAGAAAACATTATAATATGAATTTTCTTGAATAAAATCATAATTTCATAATTGTCTTAATATAAATTCAATTAAATCATAACAAGGGTATTTTAATCACTTTAATGGAGTCATTTTAATGACTCTTAACAAAATTACATATCTTGGTCCTCTAAGAAGCAACCAACTGTATCATAATTTACTTTTACTACAAAGGTTAAGTATTAGGCCATAGATTCTACTGTAGCTGAGCTTACAAGGATCTCTTTCCTACTCCGTGATGTTGGTATAAAGTTAGACCAGCCTCCTAAACTATTGTGTGATAATATGAGCTATTTTCATATGACCATCAATCTTGTCTTTGATCATCGTACCAAACATATAGAGTTGGATTATCATTAATTTCGTGAGAAGGTAGCCCTTGGAAGTTTGATAACTTGTTTTTTTCCTTCGGATATTCAAATTTTTGATAACCTAACCAAGTTTTTACTATGTCATGTTTTTCTTCAATTTCGATCCAAATTGGGGCTTCATTCCATTTCTCCCTCCAACTTGAGGCGATATGATAAGGAAATAAAAGGCTATGTTCATTTTTGAACTTAGCATTTTATTTTCTTTTTTTCTGCTTTTGTATTTTTGAAATAACTATTCGTTTACCTTTCTTAAGAATTTTATTCCAAAAAAGAAGTGAAAACAGTAAGAGAAGAAAAAGGCTACTGACACCATTATCTATATATATATATATATATATATACAGAGTAAAACTTCTCTATAGTGATACTCTATATATGAATAAACTCTATATAGTCATAAAAAATTCTAGACCCAATTTGGGATAGTTATAAATAAGAATAAACTTTACATTGTAATAAGTTATAATTTTTCTAATTTCTGCCTTAAGGAAAGTTGCCTCTACATAGTAATAATTATCTGTATATTACAAAAAAAAATATGTTATGTAAAATGAAAAGTTTAAAATAAAATAAAATATTTATTTAAAATTGTTTGGGACAATGATTTATTCTTTAGAGTTTTATCAAATCTTTTACCTTACGAGTACGTAATAGCTCGTTAACATGGATACCTTCTTGTTGAAGCCAAAATAGTTTTAGTTTCTCAAGCATGTTTAGAGCTTCATGGTACAAGACTTTTTGTATTTCTATACTATTATCCTGAGGATTATTTCCTTTATCTTCTTGTCTAATTGCAACAATGATTTCTCCTTTAGTTAAAACATACACAATTTGTTGCTCATTTGGATAATCGAAGAAGACATTAATATTCATTCGATTAGTGTAGTGAAGTTGTCGAATCTGATCACTCAATTCTATAGTGACTCTTTTATTCTCCTCATCTACTTCATTTGTAACTTACAATTCATTGACATTAGTGGTCTTAATTTTGCAGCACTTAAAACCATTGACAATTGTCTGTGGCTTCACATCAATTGACCATGCATCAACTGCATTTATAGTTCCATCAATGACACTTATTTTTGCTGGTTCTAAGAAATGATCTTTTATCCGTTTCAAAAGTAGATAATCGAAGCGTTGAATTGAAATCCTAATATTACTAAAATATGAATTGAAATCCTAATACTGTACTACTAAAACATGAATTGAAATCCTAATAATGTACTTCTAAAACATGAATTATAAAATAAGAAATCAAAACTATAATTTTTATAACTACACTACACTTCCATTAAGTTATAACCTCTTTATAGTATAAAATTAGTTAGTCCCACCATTATGACTATAGAGAGTTTTACTATATAAGAATTTTACTCCAGAAAAGAAGTGAAAACAAGAGAAGAAAGGCTACTAACTCCATTGTTTTTATCACAAAATTTCAAGCAGAAATTAACCGTGGACATAAGTGAAACAATCTCTATGAGATAGACAAATTATAAATGATAAGGGATTTTATTTGGTGTGGATGTGATAACATGTCAAACGTGTTTTCATTTTTCGGTTTTTTTTTAAATATTTTAATATTTAAAAAAAAAAAGATACACAAAATTCATAAATAAACTATCAACCTTAGAAGTTTTAAAAATTTTCAAATTAAATAACGTGAATTTTATGTTTTATGGATAGAAATGGACGGAGGTCATGAGTCATAATAAAAGACTCGTCAATCTATTTTCTCCCATCTCTCTCTTTTATTCAGAAAAATAATAATATAATGTACTCATCATCCTGGCCTCTGGAGATAGGTCCTAACCTGGGCTTGTTTTTTTGGGCCCTAGTGCAGGCCGGATATTTTCAACATCTCTATTCTTTATGTTCATTTTTTTTTTTTTTTTCCTTTCAACTCATCTCATGCATACTTTCTTTCTTAATTTGTTCTGTTTATAACACTAACAATTCATTATAATTTCATTACAAATTATGGTAATTTTGTCAAATTTTCAATGATAAAATAATACATATGAATATCGACAATCAATTAGGATTGATTTGATTCAGTTCTATTTGACAGCCTTAAAAATCATGTATTTAATTTAGTTCAATTCAAAAGTTAATCAAACTAATTTATCCACCCTAATTAACCTCAAACAACCCAATTCTATATTAAACTATATTTTCATTATTTTCACACAACTTTACCTAATCCATTTCCTTGTTATCATTTATAGAATTTAATTTTCAAAAGAATAATAATGAATTGACTTTACCCATCTCCACTTTCAAATAGCCCAATCTATATTAAAATATGTTTTTATTATTCCGAGTTTATTTCAGTCACCCCTAAACAATGCTTAACACAAAAATTCCTCAATGGTTATCAAAACAATTTATTGATTTAATGCTTTGCTCGAAACAATCATGTTGCAAAGTTGCAAATTTCAAATGGTAGCTACAAACCACAAAGATTTGATAGTTTTGAAACTGTGGCTGTCAACCTAAAGTGGGTAAAAATGTACCCACCTTTCAAACATTTCATAGGTTTCCCTTCCCTTCCACTCAGTTGGAGAGTGACCTGATCCCTATACAAAATAAACTCTTTAACGTTAGCTTCAATTTTCTTTCACTCCGAAAAATCAGGGTTAACATAAACAACCTTCTTACCTTCAGAGTTGCATAAGTCAATCGATATCCATAATTTGAGTACTTCATTGTGAACCTAAACAGAAGATTCAGTATCATAAATTATAGAGTTATTTTAATCTAAAATATAATTCAAAAAACAAAAATTCTGCATAATTATAAACTTTACCCTACAGTTTGGCCACCAACAAACCATGGTCGCCAATCTTCATCCAAAGTGATGCCAAGTAAACCCATCCAATATTCTGTGTATATATGTGGAACAACCAAATCATGATCGCCACTGCACCGCAAAATAAAAGTTATACTTTTACTAATGACCCAAATTCGACAAGACAACCATTTGAGTTGCAACTAAAGATTTTACTGGAATTTTGTATTAAAATTATCACCTGTAAAGCAAAAGTTGTAGGCCTAATTTGGTAAGATTTTTATGATAGTCAAAAGAACTATCGACATCATAATCATATGAGCCCCCAGAAAATGTAAGATTGCACCTTCGCCACTCTTTTATTGTTCCCTGTTAGCAATGAAAATCAATTTTCAGTTTGTTATTTATACACATATTCTCAATCCCACTTGAATTTTGGGTTTATTTTGTATACCCTCCTGGAATTATTTAATACGAACATACTCATTTTTTTTTTTAAACCATTATAAATTCTGTTATAATTATTAAATACCCCGTAGATTATTAAAAAAAAAAAAAAAAAAAAACCCGGCCCTAAGTGGGTTTTCCATAATTATAGAAGGGTTTTTTTATAGTTTTTGAAAACTCTAGAAGTACTTGGGATTAAACGATCCTCCAAGAGATGTATGAAATAAACCCCTTAAATTTTAATCAAATAAATACCTCTCGGACATGAAGAGCACGTTGAACACCTTCATCGTTTGCCCATATAGTAGAGAGTAGATAACCAAAGTTCTGCAAATTAACATAAAAATTAATTAATTAGAACCAATATTATGCAAATTAACAAAACCAGTAGCTCTAAAATGGAGAGAAAAAGAAAGAGAACCTTGCACCAATAATCAGTTTGTCTCAAAGATGTCCTCTTGTTTCCATCATCTAATTTGGGTGATACTGTGCTACACTTGGGAGCCAACACCATTTCCGTATTTATTTGTTCAATTAACTACAAAATTCAGATAATGCTTTTATAATTACCCAGTAAGATTTTGTGAGTTTGAGAAAATAATTAAAAGAAAATTTGATAATACCTCATCGATTACTTCAAGATACTCTAGGCATTCAGCACTCATTGTACTGGTATCCGTATAGAAGTAAGTGCCATTGCAATACTCTTTGGCATACTGTGAAACAGCCAAATATTAAATATTATTTTTAGATTTAAGTAATTGTAATTATAAAATTAATAAATAATATTAATAGAGCTAATAAAAATTACTCACGTTAAAAATAGTCTTGGATATAAGTCCAAGCTTATGGGCTAATATTGTTTGATAACTTTGTTCTTCTTTACCATTCATACGTGGTGATCCACTTACAATCCCCTGTTTCATTCATATAGAATTAGAAATTTTATAAGCAACCAAACAGGCTAAACAACCAAGTGTTGATCATTACCACTAGATTTATTGTTGGCACAAGTCCGGCATTATTACCTGCAACGCCATGAATAATTAGGTAAATTAAACAAACAGAAGAATGAAATTACTTGATTCATTAGTAGGGAAATTACCATCCAATATATTATTTGCGATAATGGGAGCAAGTACACCAGAATATGAATCCGTAGCAACAAAAAATGGGTTTTTGATAAATTGGGGATGCTCATTTAACCACTGCAATATTGAATTAAAAAAATTACACAAAACTCTATATGTATATGCATAAAAGTTAAGTTCATTTTAAATAACATCACCTCTCTTATAAACATATAAGATTGATTTGCTGACTGTAAGTCTGAGATCTCGTAATCTGCTGGGTTTGTTGAATAGGAGTAACCAGAGCCAATTGGTGCATCTACAAAAATTATACTCGCACTCTACAATTTTATCATTATCATACAGATTTAATTAATATCAATCCCTCACATTATACTACACTTATCAAGTTATAGATATTGCACCTTGGTCCATGTGTGTGGGTATAAATGCAACGTTGGCAAACCTCCAGTGTAACCAGTTTCATCAAACTGTAGTGGACCTAAAAATATATTTTGACATGAGTAACACTGCATTAATTTATAAGATTTAACAATTGACAAGAAGAGGAGAGGTTTTGGAATGTAACACTTGTATCCTTATAATTGACAAACTGTTTGTGAAAATTATTCTATTCCAAAACCTGTGGATCTCTTTTTCTTTCACTAAACATCAAAGGTGTCTATGTGAAATCTCAAGAAGAGACGGTTAAATGAGATACATACCAGTTTGAAAGAGGAAACCATTCAAAGCAGCACAACCAGGGCCTCCAACTATATAATAAAGAAGAGGATCCACTTCAGGATTTCCTTGCGACTTCACGAACAAGTAGAAAAGCTCTGAGCTCCCCACGCTAATATATCTGAGTAGTCATGCCCATAGCAGTTAGTTTAGTACTTCACCAATAAAATGTCCTTCCGTCGTCAGTTGAAGAAAAGTACGGCAACAATAATGGCACTCACCCAGTTTCAAGACTGAACGGAAGAGTACCAGAAAAGCCTGGTAGCGTCCGGACGATTTGGCCACAATCTGCATTTATGAAAAGAAAAACAAAGGAACAAAACAAACGTTTCAAGGTCCACCATTGGCTAAAATTTGAAGACATGATAATTATGACAAGCAACTTTTGTTTGCTCGAACCAATCAAATTAGTGTAAACTGAGTAACGTGGGAGACAAATATAGGAAAGTTAGGTTGATTAGAAAGTTTGAAAATGAAGCTCCCAACATACGGTCTAGTTTGGAATGGGGCAAAGAATATTGGGTAAGTCCACTCAATGTTGAATTGTCTGTAATTGGTTTGAATGTCCATTTTTACACTATTTTTTCTTCATTACCACGAGCATGAGAATGTCCGGTTTGGTCAAAGTAGTTGAATAAGCTAAGCTATACATACATCCGCTATCCAAGCAACTAACTATTTTTTCTGACACACGTGACAAATATAAATATAGTCAAAACACCAAATCATATTTTTGTGTCAATTATTTCAACATTTTACTACTCTTTATTTGAAATTTAATTACTAAATACATTTGAATCCATATCAACAACATTTTAATATTCTTAGATAAGAAATTAATATGCAAATGAGATTTGTTTTAATTCAAATAAATCATTAATAAGATATGAGTAACACCAATTCTTCTATTTTATAGTTAATTAAATTTATTTTTTTCTAGATCATCACTCAATTCTTAATTTCCATCCAAAATGGTTATAAACTAAAAATAATAATATTACATCTATAAATTATATTTTCAAATTCTTTCGTATCAACCGATCAACTAATTTATATAGATATTATGTGGTCTATTTTTATCTCTTTTTTCATTTTTATTGATTCAATGTTTTTGCATTATATAAATTTGTATAAATAGTTTTCATATAACAGTACGCCTTCAATCTTTCCCATTCTTTTAATGAAACATAAATATTTAATTCTTTGAGAAAAATATTTATTGAAATTAAAAAATATATATATCTTTCAATTTAAGGTACTGATGACCAAATAGTCTAACTGTATGACCAACCAGTCAATGACCATTGATTGGCCAGTACTGCCACGTGGATGTAGAATAATAATACCGTCTCTTCCCAGTATCTAATCTTCTTAAAATTTAGGATTTTGTCAAACCAACCTTGGGTAACTCTTTGGGGGCGTTTAATTAGGATCTTATATTACTTGATTATTATATTTGATTGTCAAATAATATGAGATACTGATAATCTTCAAATACCAATAATAATTACTATTGATAATATTTGAGGTAATCTGATTACTTCAATTTTCTTAGGTATTCTAAGATTATAAGGATTATCTTTTTTTGTTACAATTCTATCCCTTATTAATAAAATTTTAGGACAATAATGCCCTTATTTTTAAATTTATTTACATGAAAATGGTTTTTACTATTTCATCCCAATTAATTAATTTTTTGGACAAAATTGCCCTTGAATTCAAAACAAATTACAGCCCACCCAAGCCACCTGCCGTCTTAACCACCGTCGCGGCCAGCAGCCGCTGCCACCGGAACGGCGCATGGAAGGCCGAAAATGGCCGCCGTGCACCGATATGACCATTTTCGACCATCTAATATGGCCATCAAAGGCTAGATCCATCGATCTGCAGTTCGATGGTCGTTAACGTCCACGTCTATGGCCGTCAACGGCCACCAATCTGGCCGTTGACTGCCAGATCGACAGATCTGACCGTTGACAGTTAGATCCATAATTGATCTGGTCGGAAATGGCCATATCAGTGCACGACGGCCATTTTAGACCTTCCGTGCGCCGTTAGGTTGCCGACTACCTGTGGCCTGTGGTGGTTGTCGGTAGTCGGTAGTGGCTGAGTTGGTGGGGGGCGTTTTGTTGATTTTCTAAACTTTTATTATGGGGTTGTTTTTGCTAAGTTTTTAAATGTAAGGGGGTTATAGTAATCCAAATAATAATAATATTAAAAATAATATTTAATTAGAGAACAATTCAGTAATTAAATAACATACCTACCAATTTATTCATTCCAACCAAACATATTAATATAACATACCCACCAATTAACCAAATATATTTTCCTAAATAATCTTCAAAGTAATTTATCTTTCCAGTAATCCAACATTTCCTGAACGAAACACCACTTAAAAAAATGTCTGCTCCCCTGGTCCAGTAATTTTACATTATGTGTTTTCTCGTGCGTTTTTTAAACTGCTGGTTAAGTTTATCCAAACCATGTACGTCCACGCAATCGACCGCTACGTTGAGTTGACTTACAGTTATCCAATATTCCTTACCAGATTTTAATAAGAATGGAAGTTAGGAAATTCATCTTCTAATTTCCGATTCACACACATACACTAAAAAGGAAAGTTTCTTATATGTATAAATATACACTCACTTTACCAGCGTAGACTTCATCACTTCACTTTCAAATAAAATTAACTCCTCGTTATATGAATATCATGCCTTCAAATCTCACCAAATTCTCAAGTTTGGTTTTGTTGTTTGTTTTTCTTTTTCTGAGAAATGCAGATTGTGGGCAAATTGTGAGGACACTGCCGGGATATACCGGTACTCTTCCTTTCAAACTTGAAACTGGGTAAGTAGTGAAATTTAATTTGGTCACTTTTTTACATTTGTGTAAACTGAAGTAAGTTAATTTTTAAGAGGATTTTTGAAAACTCAGATATGTGAGCGTGGGGGATTCAGAGCTCTTCTACTTGTTTGTGGAGTCGCAAGGAAATCCTGAAGTAGATCCTGTTCTTTTTTATGTAGTTGGAGGCCCTGGTTGTTCCGCCTTAAATGGTTTTTTCTTCCAAACTGGTATTTCATTTATCCTCCTCTCTTATACATTCCAACATGGGGATGGGTTTATTTTTACAACCCCTTGAAGCACACTCAAAAGTTTTCAAAAACTATCGAAAATCCCCTTCTAAGTTATAATTATTGAAACCCTATTGTGATAAGAGGATTTTTTTTTTAAAAATAATTTAAGGGGAGTATTCAATAATTATAAGGGTTTTTTTTTTTTTTCTTTTTAATAATTTTGAAAAGTTTAAGTGTGATAATGTTAGCTAAACAATCTTGTAAAGGGGTATATGAAATAAATGTTATTCGAATATATTAATAAATTACTATTTCCTTAATTAAATATGTTAAGTAGGTATGGTCAAATTTGGCTAGATGACTAAGATAGAGTGTGATTTAGGATTATGAGAGCGTACTATTTTTATCATTATCATTATGTCACGATGTCGTTTTGTTGGATTGGTCAAATTTGGCTAGGTGACTTAGATAGAGTGTGATTTAGGATTATGAGAGCGTACTATTTTTATCATTATCATTATGTCACGATGTCGTTTTGTTGGATAGTGCTGTGGGAATATATTCATAAATGCTTATATTCAAAATTACATATTTGCCCTAACTTTGATGTTGACTACATATATTTTTTTTTTTATACAGGTCCACTACAGTTTAATCAAACTGACTACACTGGTGGCTTGCCATCATTACATTTGTATCCCTACACATGGACAAAGGTGCCAAAATTTTAAGCTATATATGGCATTAATTTGATTAAAAAAAATCATGTTTTATGATTGTCTTAAGGTGATAAATTTTATTAATTTTGCAGACTGCCAGCATAGTTTTTGTAGATTCACCTGTTGGCTCTGGTTATTCCTATGCATCAACTGTCGCAGGTTTCGTCCTTTCAGACTCTAAGTTTGCATATCAAACTTACAATTTTATAAGAACCGTGAGTGAAAGTTTAATATAAAATTATGCTTAACTTAACAGAATTTTATGTTAGCACAAGCTCTCATAGATCTCAATTATATTATGCATTATTTTATTTTAATTTTTAATTGGAGGCAGTGGTTGAATGAACATCCTCAATACATTCCAAACCGAGTTGTTCTTGCTACTGATTCTTATTCTGGTATCGTTGCTCCAATTGTGGTTCAAAAAATATTGGAAGGTAATTACTGAAGCCAATTTTTTTCATCAATTGTGGGGGACGTATATTTTTGTTATTAGTTTATCTAATGTGTCAATTATATATACATGGCATTGCAGATAATAAAGCCGGAGTTGAGCCATCAATAAGTATACTAGTAAGGATATATAAACTTATACTAATTCAGCCCTTTTGGTTCATTATGCTAATTATGAATCTTAAATTAACTGTAATTTCTAATTATTTTCTATGAATTAATTAATCAGGGATACATAAGTGGATCACCACATTCAGATCTTGAACTTGAAGTCAATGATGAAATACCACAGGCTCATCAGCTGGGACTTATATCTAAAGCTATTTACGAAGTGAGTCATTGCATTTCAATAACTAAATCAACGTTTTTTTATTAGGTCAATAATATTAATTACACTTTATATTTCGATCACTAAATGTCTAAATCTAATTAAACATAAAATTCAATGTTTAATTAATTGCTTTTCACAGTCAGCCAAAGACTATTGCAACGGCTCTTACGTTGATTGGGGTGCCACTACCGTCAGTGCGGATTGCGAAGAGTATTTGGAAATAATGGATAATGTACGATTGATGTGTGATCAAATTTTCTTCTTTCTTAAACTCAACTGCTTCACTGTGATGTAAAATGTTATATACTGTATTAAGAAAGCGTTAATTTGAATATTGTAGTTAACGGAACAAATAAATGGAGAAATGGTGTTGGCTCCCAAGTGTGCTACAATAAAACCAAAATCAGATAACGATAGAAGGAAGAGAAGATTTTTGAAGGAAAATTCAAAACATTATCGCCTTCCACCTGGAGCAAATGACTATTGGTGCAAGGTAATCTTTATCATCAAGATTTAGCGCTTCTTGTTGATGTAATTGTTAATTTATGTTAATTTGCAGGATTTTGCTTATCTACTCTCCACTATATGGGCAAACGATAAAGGTGTTCAAAGTGCTCTGCATGTCCGAGAGGTATTAACATATATTCAAGAATAGTGGGAGATTGAGATTTTAATTATTTTTATATGACATTAAAAATTGTATTTTATTTGGAAGCAGGGAACAAGTCAAGAGTGGCGTAGGTGCAACCTTACCTTGAAGACTAACTATGATGTTGATATTGGGAGTAATTTTGACTATCACAAAAATCTTACAAAAACAGGCATCCAAGTTTTACTTTATGGGTAACCTTATTGGAGCTTTACAGATTCATCAAGATAATATATTTATCTTATATATAGCTTCTTCTTTTGCCCAGAATTCCTGCATAATAATATAATTGTAATTTTGTGCAGTGGTGATCATGATCTGGTTGTTCCACATATATCAACCGAATATTGGTTAACTGAACTCGATATAACTTTGGATGAAGATTGGCGACCGTGGTATGTTGGTGGTCAAGTTGCAGGGTAAGTTTATAAGTTTGCAGACTCCTTAAAATCTAATCTTTTCAACTTTCTTTAATTTGATTCAATATGACATTACATTCCATAATTATATATGCCAATGCATCTTCAATTTAGGTACACAATGAAGTATTCAAATTATGGATATCGACTTACTTATGCCACTTCAAAAGTAAGAACTAAGAACTATCTTTAGTTTCTTCAATTTGTGAGAAAGAGTTTTATGTAAATTATTGAAGCTAATATTATGAGTAAATTTTATACAGGGATCAGGTCACTCTCCTACTGAGTGGAAAGGTAGAGAAAGTTATGAGATGTTTGAAAGGTGGATCCACTTTTATCCACTTTAGTTGGTTTCTTTAATTTCAAGATTTTCCATTAATGATCATACTCTGCAATGAGACTTTTTCTATTTATTATTGTTTTGCAAAACATTATGTTTCTGTAGTTGTGATTGCACAATTTGAATATTGTTAGTAATAAAGAAGTCGGTTGACCGAATTTTATTAGATTTTAGATACATAAACACTTGCCCCGTGATTATTTTGTAGTTGATGGATATGGTATCAGATGTTTTTATAATTTAAAAAAAAAATAACTTTGTTGGGGAGATAGTTGGAGTTTTAACTCACATTAGAGTGTAGTTACCCATTTTAAGTGCAGCGGAATAATTACCAAGTAGATTAAACAATACCAATTTGAACACACCAAACACAAGTGCGGAAAATAAAGAACACAGCCATATACATGGTTCGGCTAAATCCACTTTTAGCCTATATCCATGAGACCTTGTCTAGATCGAAGCAATTCATTAAGTTAAAAACACATTACAAGATATAATTCAAAGCTGATCTAAGTTACAGTAAAAAGAACTCCTTGTTCAACTTTACACTTAGCACCGCACTTTGAACCCTTAACGTGTCGCAACTTCTTGGACTTTCTTTACAACGGGAACACACCCGAGAATAGCTTGTGAACCAGCGACGCCACGCACCAGCATCAGCAAAGGAACCACGTTCCAAGATCCATCAATAACGTGTTTGGACACAAATATGGAAATGAACTTTGAACTTTAAGAGAAGAAATACTCTAAGAAAAGTAGAGTATATTGAAACAAAATAATTAAAAAGGTTCCAATTCATACACGCAAGAAAGAGGTGTTATATAATGAAGGATTTCTTGCTCAACAATGTAGTGCTAGGTCAACCAATAAGGGACTGACGCCTGTTTGTCCAAATAAGAAAAGTTTTCCTTCTTTTTGGTTTGGACCATAAAGCAAATCGGGAAAAATACTTTATTCCCTAGGACTACTTAAGGATGTTATGACACATGTAAGAAGGTTTTTAAAAGTGAGAGACAAATATAAACAATATGTTTTTCACTTTTTCAGACATGCAACTCGTGCTGGGTTGCAAATATCTGAATCAAGAGTGAAAGCACAAACTATTGTGTGCACACGCTCTAAACGAAACAAGTCAAGACTCAAGTTTGACAATCAGTGTGCACGCAGAACATATGTGCACACATACAATTTATAAGTTTAACAAATATGAGTTTTCCACATTCTCCCTCTTTGTCAAACTTATGAACAAAGAACACAAAAGGATTAAGTGCAAACCTGATTCAATCAACCAATTAAACCTGTAGATTTGCAAAACAAACATACAAACAAAAATAACCAACAAAAACAACACAAATGTGAACTTAAGGTTAGCACATAAAACAAATAAAAACTAAAGAGTTTTGTAGAAACAAAACAAGACAAAAATAGCAGCAAACAAAATAACAAACTCCCCTATGGAGAGATAACGGCAAATAATTCACAGTTTAGTAAAAAAAAAAAAAAAAAAAATTAAAAATTAAAAATTAAAATCACTCCCCATGCTTCTTACTCCCCCTCTTTGTTCATGAGTCTTGAGGATTTTCTAGAGGGTAGGGAAGAGCGACCAACTTTCCTCTTGGTTCTGCGCTTTAGAGGGGCAGTGGAACAATAGCAGAGGAGGTGTCAGTAGCTTCATCTTGGACTGGAGGGGCATCTTCAATGCGCACATGGGTATAATCTTGAGCAACTGCATCTTCAGGTGCTTTTTCTTCTTCATCAGCAGCTTTGTCATCTTCCTCATGAGCAGTGGCTTCTTCAGCTTCATGGGTTGCCAATTATTTTTCAACTTCATCATTAGCAACATCCTCAATAGGCATGGCAGGAGTAGAAGGGACATCAGGAGCAATAGGAGCAACGGGTTCTATTAGAACAGGAGAAACATGTTTCTTCTTCTTCTTTTCCCTTTTTTTTTTTTCAAATCAACTTCCAATTTGTCCATTCGAGAGATGAGAGAAATGTGAATTTCCTTCACATATTGAAGGACAGACTCCATTGAAGTTTCTAAGTCCTGTATGGCAACAAAAAACTTGGACTGCCAAGTGTTAGTTCTCAATTGATCAGCCAAAGAAATTGAAGGCAGATTTCCTGTAGGCTATCTGAAAGACTTCTTGGTGACAATCTTTATCTTCAAAACAGGTTCCACTTCATAGAACTTGGGCTTGTAAGCGAAAATAATCTTGTAAATCAATAGAGGAAAGGATAGAATCTGCAGAGAATGAGTGGATTGTGTTGCCACCTTAACACTAGTAAAGATCAACTGAACCAAATTTATCATCTTCCCTTGAGTAATTCCATAAATGAGTTGTGCTCGTTTTGGTCGAACAATTGAGTTGTGCATGGAAGGTGACCAGTTAGTCAAAGATATCTTAAACAGCAATTTGTAAAGTGGTGTGAGCACACTAGGTTGCAAAACACCATTCCTAGGCCATTTGGCAATGAGTAACTAGTGATAACCTTTACAATTTTGTCTAAGTCTAAACTCTTCAAGTCAAAGTTCTTTTTGCTCTTCTTTAGACCAAGAGCATCCCTAACAACATTCTCAATAAACAGGACCCAATGTCCTCTAACATAGACTCTATCATTGTGCTCATTTGAATTTAGTTCAGCATTGTCCAAGCCAAAATTAGCGTAAAACTCTTGAACAAGAGTTTGGATAGCGGCAGTCAGGCTTGTAATGGTTCCTAGCCATTTTCTTTTCTTCATCATGACATGTAATTCATTAAAATCTTCTAACCTAACATTGGCTTTGCTCATAATTGTCTTCTTGATAGTGTGGCTCTTAAATCTAGTTTCAGCAGTAGGAAAAACAAATGGAGAGATGTTATCAGTTGAGGGTTCCTCCATAACAGTCTTTCCTTTCTTCTTAGCCAACTCTGCTGGAATCAGAGGTTTTGAAGGAGCAGCTTTTCCAAAAGCTTCCTTGCACGATTTCAGAGTGGCTATCAGGGTGTTTTCAGAAGCTTTTTCAGATGTTGAAGGAGATTTTTCTAGCAACTTTTGTAATGAAGTAGGGGTTGACTCTTCTTGTGGGCGCTCCAAGTTTTGGTGATCACTAGAAACAGGGGATGAACTAGGAGTGGTTTGATTCATCCTCTTGACTTCTCTCTTCAGAATCTGAATCACTCGCTGGAGGAGTAGGGTTTTTAGTCGGCATTTGACTACGCAATATGGCCTCCTTCATTGCCAAAAATCCCTTTCCTAGAGATCCTTCTTTTCTTTTCGAGTCCTCCATTGCTTTATTTCTTGAATCCATGAGAAAAAATAAGTCTGAGAGGAATTTTTGGGAGAAAAAAATCGTGAAGACTGAAAAACTCAGGCGGTGCAAAAGGGTTATGGAATGTGAAGATTGATGCGAAAAAAAAAAAAAATTAGGGCTAACATTATGGTTGGCGTTGACTCTGAAGCCCTAAAAAAAGTTATACCAAAATTAGTACTCTATCCTAAGTGGGTGTACATATGCAATTGTGTGAGTGCACAACATGCCAAAAGAACATCAGAAATTTTCAAAAGACTGGACTTTATTGAAACAATTTTTAACAACATAAAATTAAAATGATGAAATGCTTCACATGAATTTTTAAAGGTCAAGACAATCAATCTGTGCAAATCATCCTAATAAATAAAATTTTCAATCTTAAAAGGCACAAAAACTCTTACGGAAGTTGTTAACATAATGCAATCAAAATAACACTTCCTTAATCATACACAAGTGAGATAAATTTCCAAGAGGTTGTCTTGGTGTGTGATAGTGCCCTCAAGGGGGTAAAATGACACATTGATCACTTTTTAAATTTTGTAAGAGAAACTCCCCCTTCCCTCATGCCATACAATAATTTTTCATTTTTCTTTTTCAGCATAGGAAATAAAGATTTTTCTTTTCATTTTGATCAAAGGGCAAATAACTCTCATAAACGTAACCAAAATGTGGCTTTCATACCTACAAGAAGGTAGTCCTCTTAATGGTAGATTTTCCAAAATGTAGGGGTCTCTACAAATCAAAAAATTACTCAAAATAACTTTTATTTTCGGGGCAAGGTAGCCCTTTCATAATGGTGAAAAGCATGGACAATCAACTCATGATGAGATAAGGTCATGTTATAGAGAGAGTCTTAGTGGACACAACATACTAGAGTTAGCATATAGATAAGAGAAAATTAATGATAATTAGAGAGTTAGCACCTATCAAGGAATCTTGACAAACAAAAATAAAAGTAGCATGTTCATGCTTTATTCGTCAAACTGAAAAGAAAAATGATTCAAGTTGAAGTAGTCCAATGGACTTCCTCAAGAAAACAAAAGTATCATAGTCAAGTGCTTTTGTAAATAAATCAGCCAATTGGGATTTTGTGTTCACATGAGCAAGTGCAATGATATTCTCTTCAACTAACTCTTTATTAAAATGATGTCTTATGTCAATGTGCTTAGTCCTAGAATGCTGGACTGGATTCTTAGAGATGTTAATGGCACTCGTGTTATCACAAAAAATTATCACACAATCTTGATCAACACCATAATCACTCAACATTTGCTTTATCCATAAAATTTGAGTACAACAACTCCCCGCGGCAATGTACTTAACCTTGGCAGTGGATATGGAGATTGCATTTTGCTTCTTGCTGTATTATGTGACAAGATTGTTTCCAAGATAGAAACATTCACCTGAAGTGCTCTTTCGATCATCCAAACTTCCTGCTTAATTCGCATTACTATATCTAACCAAACAATTGTTAGAATCAAATGAGTACCAAAGGCCAAAATCACAAGTACCTGAAATATATTTCATGATTCTTTTCACTGCATTCAAGTGCAACTCAGATGGATTAGTTTGAAACCTAGCATAAACACCAACACTAAAGCAAATATCAGATTGACTAGTAGTTAAGTAAAGAAGACTTTCTATCATGCTTTGGTACAACTTATTGTCTACCTTTTGACCATGTTCGTCCTTGCACAGCTTAAGGTAAGCACTCATAGGGGTTTTAGCATGCTTTGAATTCTCAAAACAAAATATTTTCAACATGTTTCTAGCATACTTTGATTGGGAAATAAACATGCCATTATTCATTTGTTTAATTTGAAAAACAAGAAACATATTCAACTCCCTTACTATACTCATCTCAAACTCATTTTTTATCAAGCTAATGAATTCAAGTGCATGTGAATGAGATGTAGAACCAAACACAATATCATCAACGTAAATCTGTGCACACATGATCTTATTGTTAGCACGCTTGATAAAGAGGGTTTTGTTGGCATTACCTCGTTCATAGTTATGCTAAAAAAGGAAAGTTGTCAACCTTTCATACTAGGCTTGTGGGGCTTGTTTTAAACCATAAAGTGCTTTCTTCAATATGAAGATAT